TGAATCGGATTCTATTTCTTCATTTTTCTTTGTATCTTATTCAGTTATATGAAGTACACGTGGATCTGGTTGTTGTTCATTATTTAAGAAAGCGCATAATTGATCTTCGTTATTATACGCAAATGATTAAAACAAAGAATAAATATCTACTATTTTCGTAAGAAGCCAGGTTTATGTTGTAAGAACATAACAACGTAAAATTTTACAATGGATCAACCATTCCCGAAAAAATCGTGCTATTTATTCTAAAAGTCAGGGAATGACGACTCACTTGTTTTTCAATAATGTTACAACAACTATTTAATACACAATTATTTATTACAATATCTATTATCTATTTTTTATCTATTAAATATCTATTATCTATTATTTATTACAATATACAATATCTATTTATTACAATAACTATTTAAATATTATATTAATGAACTATATTTAGAAAAAGTTATTATTTTTTTGGTAAATTGTTAGTAAATTATAATTTAAAAAATAAGCAGAAAATTTAAAAAATATTTTATTTCTATGTTACAAATAACTTACCTAATTTTTAAATTGAAAACAAACAAAGAATATTGTTTAATAATTTTGTTAGTATTGTAATTATCAGTTCTACCACTAAAAATATTGGAAAATCGGACTATATGTACAAAATGAGACCGAGTATTTTCATCCGTAACGTCAGCTCAACCGAGATTACCCTATAGAAATTAAATACTCTACAGAATTTCCTGCTTGTTTTTTTAAATCAAAGTTTATTAACAATTTATTAAAAATAATGATTTTCTCTTCGAAAATTTTTCAAATATTGTAACTTAAGCAATTTTGAAGGAAGTTTTGCGGAAAAATTATGCTAAAAATGTGTCCGGTGTGGATAACATCGAGCTAACATAGCTGTATATCGAAACAAGCCGACTAGATTTGATGTATGATATGTAATAAGTGATTTCACGAAAACTGTAAATTTTTATGATCTTTGAGGAGACGTTTTGTACCAGCAAAATATAAATAATATTTCTTTCTGTTATGTCTAAAACTTTTTTTTATCTGGGCTATGATCCACAGACAGTCTGGATAAAATTGCCATGTACATAGGACACAATTTCTTTTTTTTTTACTAAAATCTATGATTGTTTTTTAGTTTTATCTTGATATTATAATTTCTTGTATTTCCACTCTTGTAAATACATTTTTAAATATATGAATATATTTTGGAACATGCATTAAATTTACAATGTATTGAAGTTTTAAAAAAAAATGGACCATGACTCCTCGATTTACCGTGTATGAAAATAAGCCAGATTTAATAATGATATGTAATATTGTAATGGATTATTATCTGATATGTTTTTATATAAGAAAATTACAAATAATATTATAAGCCAATTATTTTGAGTAAAAAGTTAAAACTAATACAAATTTATTGGTAATCATTATTTATTAGCTTTTTTATAGAATTCGAATATTTTACTCTACAATTTAACTCTACAATTTAAGTTCAGTTCATTTGTGAATTATATATAGTAATTTGTTGCTAATATTTATAAGATATTTGAAAGTAAATAACGTATTTGATAATTGCTTACAATCAAATATTAACTTAATGACAACAAGTACTTCAATAGTTAATCATTAATCCATCTAGTAATTAAAACCTTAAATTAATTGTACCATGTGATTAATATTGGCGTAATTACAAATTTAGTCGTTAATTTATCGATAGATTAATTAATTAAATATTTAAATTAACCCAAATTCAACCTGATCGGACTATTGTAGTTCATAACAGTGCTCATTTTGATAATATTTAAACACTTAACAATTGATCTGATCTATAAAATAAGTACATTATTAGATCATACGAGAATTAAAACAAAATTTTTATTTATGAAAAAACGAAAAAAGCAAAAGAATGGTCGTTTGAGTATATGATTTATACGAATAATATCGTTACTTATTTACGACGAAAAGGAAGAAAACAAGAGTGAAGAAAGAGAGAGAAAGAAGAGGATTCCCCCAGTCTTAAAAGAGGGAATACATTATCTTTTGGCGAAATGCCAAGAAAATCGGTCCACGGCTAGCACACTCATACTATGACTATGTAACAATGCGACTATGCTAGCAATATCACCAGGAAGAAACATGAGAGTCCTTTCCCTACTCACTACCACTATCAACACTTTTTACCTTCTACCTATGGATTTGCCCTAGTTTCACAATGACGATTTAGAAAATGACGATTTAGAAAAGTGAGATCTTTCACTGGATTCGATGAACCATCTTCTTTTTTCTTTTATTTTACTACAATCTGTTCATGTAGCAGTTTTTTTCACGTTCAACAGGTTCGTAAAAATTCGATAATGTTAAATTAAGAGACTTAAAATGATAAATGGAATTAGTTTTCTGAAAGTGAACTTCGTTATTATTTCTACATTGCAGATAATATATACATACATACATATATATAGACACACACGCACACAATAAAACACACAGGTATCTATATGATAACTCTTTGGAGTATTCATGTTAGAGATACTATCAGTATGCATTAGATAACTTTTTTTAAGCGTATCAATAATCGTTCGATAACATGTCAATGTAGATATATAGTATATCTTTGTATAAGCGTCTGCTGTACGTAGAACTCTTTTTATATCTAACTATTCGATTATCATATTCTTGACAAATATGCCGAAGTTGATTCTTTTTAAATCTCATAATCTATACCTGTATTTATTATTGTTTTAATTTGTTAATATGTTTGTATTTGTGTGCGCGTATGCACATATAGAGCTAATAGCTATTAATTGTGATCTGGACAGACCTTCGTTTCTTGGATAAATGATTAATTTTTAAATGAATTTCATATCTGACCTTGAAGATCTTTTTCTTTTATTTTTCTTATTCTCTCTCTGTAAATCATCTTCCTTTAAAGTTTTATTTCATTTTGGCTATTGTTACTTTTAGGTTAGAAAATACTTTTTGTAATTTCTAAGCTTACTATAGTTCACTTAAAACTAATCAACAAGGGAGAGTGTTGATGGAAACGTTCAAATGTCTTATCGTACGATTCGATCAAATAAACGAGGTAAGGAAAGATCGATAGTTGGTCAGCTAATCAATTTTTTCCCCTCACATATAGCGTTTCAAGGATATTTCTACAATACTCTACAATACTAACAGTCGTCTCTCATACGAAATGGTTTCCAATCTCTTCCCTACGATTGATATAGTCGAGTTGGTCAGGTCCACACGTATCATTCGGCGCATTTGAGCGTTTCGAATGGAAGGGCCACCCCTCATCCTCCAATCAGCGATGCGTATGAAGCCACCACGGCAGGAGGCTTTAGCATACCACTTACTTCTTCTGTTTCTCTGATCCTTTGCCGAAACATCTATTGTCCTTAATGATACTTGCCTTCTCTTCCTTCTACTTCGTCCTTTCATCTTCAACATTTTTTTTCATATTTTCTTTCTCTTTCTTTTCATCTAAATTTTTCCTTCATGTATGAAATTATAAATATCGTTAAGTAACATTTCTTATTTTTTATTTTTTTTGTGACACTTTTGTTAACAATCAACTTTGTATAGATAAATATACTTTCTCTAACAAGATTTACACAAGATTTATACAATTGATAAGAAACAATTATGTAGTAAGAATGTTCTTTGTTCTATTCCATTTGCAACGGTTGGTCGATTCATCGGCTCATATTTCATGAATGTTTTGTTAGATAAACCCCATGATGGTGGTTATATCCGCCAGTCTATCATTTTCTCTTCTGCTTTATACCATTGGGTTTTAGACGGGTTTTATGGTTGTGAAAGTCTAACGAACAAGGAGATGATGGAAGAGAAAAATAGGGAGAAAAAGAAAGAAAGGGAGAAGAGAGAACAACTGTACCTATCTATTTACTGTCATTGCTTCTATAGCAACTAATATATATATATATACATATATATCAGTCGCTATAAAATAAATATATATTATATATATATATTATATATATAATATTTTACTATATATTATTATTTTTTGTATTTATATACAAAATATATATTATTAGATATATACTATATTCATATATAAAATATATATTATATATTAGTATTTTATTTTTTAATATATGGTACATCTACTTATAGATGTAAGTACCATTTATTCTTTATCTCATTTTAGAAAAAAAAGAAATACATCGTTAAAGAAATATAGGTGTGTTTGAAGAAAAAGGTTGTAGCAGACTGTTAAATAAGCACAATTCGTCTGTATCGAAACTTTAAAGTAAAATCTGTGATACTTTATATTTTATTCATTTAAATAGATTGACAAGTAGTCATATAACATGAAAATCCCGTATCTTCTCTTTACGTGTTCTTTATTCGTATTTTCTCAGTTTCTCTCTTTCTCTCTCTTTCTTTTCTCCTCTCCCTCTCTCTCTCTCTTTTTCTTCCTCTCTCTCTCTCTCTCTCTCTCTCTCTCTCTCTTTCCCTCTAAAAACGAAGGAAAGTTTGATGTCGACCATCTTTACGCTCCATTGATTATGATAATCGCTCTTGCATGTAGGCGCTCGTTAGCAGCTTGTTAACTTCATTCAGAGTCTAGGGACATTTAATTACTACCATTCGCAACCGTCAGAAACGAGAAATGAAGATACGAATTAATAACGAGAATAGTGTTCCTTAGATTAATCTTTTAAATTAATTTATATATATATATATATATCAATATTAATATATATTAATATATACATATATTGTATATATATATATTTATATATATATATATATATATACGTATATATAGGTAGTGTAAAATATTTATAATATTAAAATTTTAAATAAAAAAAGTTTTTTTTTTACAGATGATTTTTTAAATCAATTTTTCAATTTATTTACTATTGAGTTCTAAAAATGAATGTTGTAAAGTAAAAATTGTTTCTACTCTTATTTTTTTTATAATTTTTATTTTTTCTTATCAAAGTTAAAGAATCTCCAAAGTATCTGTCATAGTACAAAATTTCAAACGGAAAATATTATTTTTCTTTACAAAGAGTATTCTCGAATATTAAAAGGCCAACTTCTAATCTAAATGATGTAATGCTATTCCGTTGTAAATAGATCAATTTTTTAATTTCTTTCCTGTTAATCTCTCTAACGTAGATGATGAAATGTAAAAATTTTTATCTCTCTCCTCGTAATTTATATTCTTTTTATCGAAGTTAAAGAATTCTTAGAATGTTTCTTACAATGTAAACTTTTAAAAGAAAAGCATGATATCTACCCTGAGAATATTCTCAAAGACTAAGGATTCAACCACGAATCGGCGATTTAATGAAGATCCATGGGAAGAGAGAATAGAGTCCGGTAGCGCCATTTGCTATTTGCCCTTTTGATGTTATAACAGCAAAAGCGGTCTTGATTTCCACGGATTGAGATTTCCACGAGGTGGTCCTCCGTAATAAATCGTATTGTCAGCAGTTCCCTCGGACAGCCACCTGCCAATCAATATCTCAAGAGTTGGCCCAAGGTGAATCGTATGCAAATTCAACGGGATCGAAAAGAAGGGACTCTAGTTTTTCCCTATCTTCTTTTACTTTTTATTTTCCATCTTTTTCCTTTCTCTTTCCCTTTCTCTTTCTCTCTCTCCTCTCTCTTTCTTTCTGTCTATTTGTCTGTTGCTTATTTCTTTTTTTCTATTCGATTCTCTCTTTCCTAAAACGGTTTGAACTAGAGCTTATCGATTTCAACAAATCGATTTATAATTTTTGAATGAAATGGAAATTTAAAATTTTTCAAAAGTTACTTCAATATTAATGAATAATATCGAGTCAAACAACTCGTTAAATCGATCGAACTAATCACCGTACTTTTTTATATTTTCTTGTCTTTCTGTCCGATTTGCTATCTACTTCCTTTTCTTACAATTTTTTCAATTAGATGAATTTCTTCTATTGATTTTGAACCAATATGAATTTCTTACTTTTCAATGAAATAAAAATTTAGGACTTTTCAAAAATAATATCAATTCTATCATGGATGAGATAATGAGTCGAACAAAATCATTGATTTAAACAAGCTAATCGTCATACTTTTCTTAGAATATTCTCCTATTATAAAAAGAAGACAATAAAAAGAAAAAAGAAATAAAAAAGAGAAGAGGTCCGAGTTCAGGCGTTAAATGTATAATTCGAGAGGCGAATGAGATGATTCATTTGGCGAAGAGGAGAGTGCTCTTCTCGATGTATAAAGGCGACAGCGAAAAAGAATGGTAAGGGAGAGAAAGAGAGACCCTGTGTGTACGTAGGTAAGTCTATATACAAGTAAATCTACATACAAGTGTGTGAGCGTGTGCGCGTTTGTGTATGTGTATACCTACTATTTCTCTCTCTTTTTCTCTCATAGTGGCAGCCGGTTCGGCAAGTTTTTGACCGTCTGCCGTTAACTGCCTGGCCCTTGGTGTCCCACCTTCTTTGCAGGTACCGCTCCACGGTACCATCCCACACGTCCTCGTCCCACTCTTCGAGATACTGCTTCTGCTGGATCCTGTCCACAAACTCACGCCACCATCGCGCCTCTTATACTTTTGTCGTTCGCATTTTTTTGCATGTTGGCATGCTACTGAAGATATGCAACAGTTATGATTTGAAAAAATATTTATACAAGAAAAAAAGTATTAATACATTACAATAAGAAATTACCTATATCTATTACGTTATGAAAATAGCAGCAAACTGCTCCTGAAACGTGCTTTTGATGATATTCTATGCTTTATAAATTTCGTTCATTATTTTATCAGACTTTTAGCAATGTAGTGGATGAGGAATTGTTTTAGTGTCTCAAAAATAGAATTATAAAAAAAGAGAGTGGCTACAATAAAGAATGACCTGTATCTACATGTATGTTTGAAAATAGTTGTAAATTGGTATAAAATTTGTCTTGGATGATATTTTATTTCTTTTAATTTTGTTCATTATTTTATCAGGATTTTAGAAATACTAAAAGTATTGTAAGAAATCATATCAGAGTCTAGGACCTGATTGAAATAAAAATTTGCCTTCTGTCTCTATTATTAAATAGACTACACATTGACGTACTGGTGAATACATTTAACAAGTAAGCTATAGACTTTAAGATTAATAAATGTATATCATAAAAAATAGAATACGTAAAATAAGCATTAATTGTACAAGAATCTTTGCAAGTAATTATAGTGTTTAAAACGTGTCTTGGATATGATACTTCATGCTTCTTAAATGTCGTTCATTTATCCGAAAGCGCAATGTCATTTCTAACTTTCAGAAGTGTTGCCAATAAGAAATTTTTTCGGTTTATCCTCTATTTCTGATTCTGTAATTTATTAAATAGACCGCACATTGACATCTTGGTGAAGACATTCAAAAAAACAAGATAAGAGTTCTGAGACTAATAAATATGTATCGCAAAGTAAAACGCGTATAATAAAAACTTATCTGTATTTATATATTTAAAAATAATAGTTAATTGATTTGAAATATGACGATGATGTCATGCAATGTCCTATCTTAAACAATATTTATGCTTTAATTTTGTTCATTTATCCAATATCATTTATTCTCCTATTTTTAGGAATCCTGTTATTGAGTAACTCCATTATATAAAACACACAACCGAAATCAAAATCTGTCTTCCATCTGTGGCATCTTAACATATTTAACAATCTTATTCCTTTTGAGGTAAATTACTTTTTAGTTGATGAAGTAGTTAATATATTATATATAAACTTATTAGTGTTGATGAAAGTATTTAACGTTATACCTTCATCATTCGACTATGAGACTAATAAATATATATATTATAAAAAAACAAAGTAGATACAATAACAAATTACTTATACCTATACATTCGAAACAATTGCAGATTGACCCAAATTCTTTACATTTAATTCATTTATCGAAACATCAGTTCTTCAAAAATATTGCAAATGAAATATTATTGTAGTGTTCGAAACGTAAGTGAAGTTAAAATCTGTTCTTCTTTATCAAAGAAGAATTTATCAAAGACAATATTTATGTCAATATTTATTAAAGACAAAATATTTACGATATTATTGTACCTTTTGTATTTTTCTAGAATATTATGAAAGCTCTTAAGAATTCAAATTCATGCAAAAAATATAAAAAACAAGCTATACAAAATACATTGATGTAATTAAACGAATAGAAAACTTCAAAATAAATGTAATTTCATATATAAATACTAATGAAAACATTTAACAGGCAAATGGAAGACTCTGATCTATATATATATCGCGAAAAGCAGAATAGGTAGATACAATAGGAAATCCACATACAAATTTCAATACAAAAATAGTATAAATATAAATAATATAAAATTAATTTTTAATTTTTTCTTTACCAACGAAATTTCTTTTTTTCCAACTAAAAAAGAAAAATGCATCCGTAAATGGTGTTTTATAGTACTCGAGGACGAGAGCTCGTTGGAAATCGGTCGAACGTGTCGGAAATAGAGTCGGGTGCGTGACGGGCGACGAACTTGATCAGGAAGGATCGAGAAGAAGACAGTCGAAGGAGGTAAACTATCGAGGAGGTAAATCGAACCGAAGGAAACGGAGAAGTAGAAGGAAGGAGGTAAAGAATGAAGGAAACAAGCAATGTGAGTCGTTGAGTTTGAAGTCGAACTAAAGTAATCGTTCGACTTGGTTATAAAGCCAGTAAATTATATAAGCATAGTAATAATGGTAAAAATATTAATATTAATAGAGTAGCAAGTTGCAGTAATAGTAGTAAATGTTGGAGAGATAGATTCTTTGTATTGACAAAAGAAGAAGAAAAAGAAGAAGATAAGAAAGTAGTAAAATAAGACGAAAAATAAGAAGAGGATGACGATGAGTTGACCCTGCGGGCCAATATCGGCGAACGTCAGGAGGCCGAGTAACTTTTTTTCCTACCGAACGCAGACAAATCGATATCTACTCGCGCGCAGCGCTGGTTCTCTACGTTCTTCTACAACATAGTGGAATCGTTCGTTGAGCGCATACGAGCATAGAGGTCATTACCACTCCATCGGTGTTGTCTCTATCTCAACATTGACGGAGATACTTCTAATTTAATCAAATTAACAGTTTTCTTTCTTTTTCTATATTTTCTCTTGATTAATACCTTTTTTTTTTAATTTGCCGAAAGAATCAAAGCAAATTCCTTTTTTTTGATTTGCAAATTGATTAAATTAGATATTAACTGTTATTTATAAATGTAGTTATTGAAATTTGATATTCAATATTGAATGAGAACGACGAATTGTCATTTTACAGATTCTTTTTTCTATAACATTTATATTATATTTTTTTTAAATATCTCTGTGAGTTGTCCGAATGATTCGAAAGATATCGATAAATAAATAGGAAATTAAAGTAATCCTGAAATGTATCTAATAATTCGCCTACATTGTAAACATCTATATTGGAAATACTAGTTGAATTCTTGACTTAAATTATTCGAAAGAAAACTAAGTTATAGGTTAGAACATGAAGCGGAAAGTTTCGAAGTTTCGAAAGAAAAAAGATAGGGAATACATTTTTACGATCTTATTCGTATCATTACGACTAGAGAGATAAAAAACGTACTTTTAGTTATCACGTTTTCGATGCTCGATACTAAACGCGTTTATGTTTCGTGGTTGTAAAGCATTAGAAGTTGTACGTAGGAAGTGTTATAAAGCTATGATACGTGAGAAAAAGAGAGAGAAAGATATATATGTGTGTGTATATATATATATATAGAAAGAGAAAGAGAGAGAATGAGAGATAGAAAGAGAAAGAGAGAGAATGAGAGATAGAAAGAGAAAGAGAGAGAATGAGAGATAGAAAGAGAGAGAGAAAGAGAAAGAGAAAGAGGCAGAGAAGGGGAGATACAATGCAAACTTCCTGCAACTTCTGAAACCTTGCTATAACTTAGTTCCTCTCCTCGTTTCTTCCATGCAGAACTGAGAGAACGTGATTCAACTTTTCTAACATGTGGCAGCACCGATTTAACCGCCCAAAGAGACTTCCTATTTTTTTGTAATCATTTTCTATTTTTCTCTTTCTTACTCTCTCTTTCTTATTTTATTATTATATATATATTCTTATAATAATTCATATTATACATATGTATATATATACATACATTATATGTAGTTATATATATATATATATATATATATATATATATATTATATGTAGATATATATACATTATTACATAAAATTTATATCTTATATATTATACTGTATACTTTCCTATAACGGTATACTATATTATAATAATATGCTATATAGTATATAAGGAAAAAAGAAAGAGATACTTTAGTATTTATGTGATATTATATAGGTACTTATACACATGTACATATATATATATAAAATATATATAATATTAAATATATAAAAAGTATGTATATATATATCACAAATTTTATGGTCTTTGGAAGAGAATCGCTAGCTAACATTTGCTTTTTCTTTTTTCACTACCCTTCTATTTCTCTTTTTTTTCTCTCTTTTGTATTTTCTCTACGATTTAAGAAAAGCTTCATGATCTCCCGATACCATGGACAAGTGAACGCAAACGTGCAAGGTGGCATGCTTAACTGCTGCCACGCAGACGCCATCGATGCTCTGTGTCGATACGGAAACAGGAACGCATGTTTTTGATGCGTTCAATATCATTCATGTTGGCTGGTTCCTCGACAAAGAGAAAGAGGTGACTGTATTCGATGCAAATTTCTCTGCGTTATGTTATTGAAAAAAAGACAGAGACAGAGAGAGAGAGAAAGAAAGAGAGGGAGGGAGGGAGAGAGGGAGAGAGGGAGAGAGAGAGAGAGAGAGAGAGAGAGAGAGAGAGATGAACCTAGCGGTACCAGTGATAGAACCTTCTCGACGTTTGCTTTGTTAATGGTGTGTCACCAATGTCGATGATGATTCTATTGAGACTACGAATAATCTAATTTATTTGAGATTAAGAATGGATAAAACAATAATTTTCTAGTAATGATTATTAATTAATAAAAATTAACGAAGACTCGAATATAATTCCTATGTTAAAATATTCATACTTTCGAATTAATCAACGATCCAAACATTCCAATTTCAATCTCTTTTCTTCTATTTTTCGTCGAAGCTAGAAAGAGAGGTCGAACTAACTACGAAATAGCCGAAAATGGCGGCCGTGTTCACCGAATTCTAGAAAGTACCGACACGACACTCTTCTGATTGGTCATTGCTCCCCTTCGGTTGAATTGTCAAAATGTTTTCTTCTTCGTTGAAGCGCCGCCATCCTGTAGCGAGCTTGCAAAGCTTTCCGTTGTTTAGCAGAACGAGTATGGCGGTGGTACTACAAACAAAATCATCTAGTTGTGTGCCACCACTTCGGTATTATGACCATAGTTAACCTTGTGTTCTCGCTCATTCACTCTCTCCCTCTCTTTCTCTGTCTCTTTCTCTCAACGATTTTCCTATTCTCGTCAAGAGTTGATAATCTCATTTTCGAGAATGCGATTTTATCGGCAGCGTGGAAAGTTTCCATATTTTCGGAAGATCTTGTAAACGGTGACGAGGGCACTGCTTGTTTGAGATCCTTCTTAAAAATTTGAATCTTCTTGATATTGTAAAATAAACAAAAAATCTGTAATCGATATGACTTCAACAAAATTGCTTATAAGATTGTTAATATTTGCATGGAAAGAAAGCATAATATTTGAACCC